CAGATCAGCATAGGGAGCACCGGGGGATGAGCAAAAAGGCTTTTCCAACCCACATGCTTTCGACGTAGATGGAGACCAGTTTGCCACGTGGATGGGAGATCAGTTTGCCACGCAGATCAGCATAGGGAGCACCGGGGGATAAGCAAAAAGGCTTTTCCAACCCACACGTTTTTCGCCCAACGATAGCCATCTCTGCCTCCTATTACACTCGCTCTGCTTTACTCTGCCGATTAATCCCACCCACTCACATCCAATCCTTAACGTCTTCCAATACGTGTCCTCTCTCTGATCTTGCGGCAAAACTATATATCACATATAAATATATCATATGATTAATATGATAAAAAAAAAAAATATTGTAATAGAATACTTTCACCTATGAATACAAATACTTATGCAATTATTCAAATGGGCGGACAACAGCCCCACCCACTCACATCCAATCCTTAACGTCTTCCAATACGTGTCCTCTCTCTGATATTGCGGCAAAACTTGCCCTGCCAAAAATACACTGGCCGTCTGCGCTCTCTTCTCCCGTCTCTTTGCTGTGCTGGCATATTCCGCCACCTACACCGACAAACTTGCCCTGCCAAAATACACTGCCAATCTATACTCTCTCTCTCTCTCTCTTCTCCCCTGTCGCTATGCCCTGCCGTACGTCCTACCCATTTACATTTCTGCTGCCTGCGCGCTATCTCCAATCGTCAATGGCTTCAACTCCCTTCTCAACAACGAGTCTAGCCGTGTGCAATCCTCACAAAACGACGGGCACGCCATACATACTGTAATAACTGAAATTAACTTACTACAGTAGCCTACGCACAGCACGATCAGTGCTCCGACAACCTGACAAAACGACTGGCAAGCCGTACCATACAAGTAAGACGTCTACTAGAGTCTCTACTTAGCCATCTATACACAGCACGATCAGCGGCACGACAGTCTCACAAAACGACCGACACGAGGTGGTATATATTGTCACACTATAAATCGGAGCGCAAAGGCGGAAAAAGAACAAAACAAGAAAAGGAAAAGAAGGAAAGCCCCACCTGTTCATCACCTCATACGTACAAGGCCAGCCACGTGGTATATATACGTGATACCAGAACTTACTATAGTCTACACACAGCATGATCAGCGCTTCGACTACCGTCTTCACTCGAATAGAACGCCCGGTCATTATAACTGTACTTGATGCATTTTTCAGTCCAGATACGGCCATAATTACCGAGCGTTCTATTCGGGTGAAGACGGTAGTAGTTACTCTTAAGACGCAAAACAACTTGCAAAAATCTCGGCGATTGCCTATATTTTTTTTCAGCGCACACATGCGACGAAGCTACACATATCGTAATGACGTGCCTGCGCTAGTTTACTTCCATCAAAACCACGCATTAAGTTGTTGCACTCATAATGCGACGCGATCAATCACCCAAAACTGGATTGCATTTAAGGGAGGGGGTCCATTCAAACGCCACAAAAAGTACTGCTGGATCAATCAACCAATCAAATGCCGGGCATGTCTTCACATTCTCGGCACAAGTCCGTACCATGCCCACCACCACACCACGGGGGGGGGGCGGGAGGAAACACCTCCCATGAAAATCGCCCGCCTACTCTTCCACCTTCCCTTCCCTTCCTCCACAAACCTCTGTCAAATCTGGCTGCGCGACCTGACCAAACCCCCCGACTACAGGTAGTCGAGCAATTCATAGCCAAGCAAATATGACACACCGCATACTCCCTCGCCACTTTACTGCCCGTACCTGACCGGCATTGAGGCCCGATTTCGTTAAGAATGCTCACGATCGATCCTCAATACCGCCCGATACGACGACACATGTAGTGAAGAAACCCCGAGATAGTCTCCTCCCCCTATCCGAAGGGAGAACTTTCGTCATAAAAAGAACTCAAATAGGGCCTCGCCAGAGACTGCGTACAGAGAAATTACCCTCGCTGTGTTCCCCCGGCGAACGCTACAATCTTGCCAATGACCAAACCAGATCCCGCCACCGCTTTTCGACTCACTTAAAGAGAGGTTTTAACAGACGCACGTGCATCAGGGTAAGTACTCCTTTCTTCTTTCTTCTTTTTTTTATGATCACTCCTTTTCCGTCATCCCTCCTCTACCGACACACGTGCATCAGGCAACTCAACCTCCAAACCATGCTTCTTCAACGGGTCCATCGCGCCCACAAGAACAAGAACGGTCCCAGCGCAAAGACTGCATGACAGCCCATTGCCCGCCCGGCTACTCCACAACCGAATGTGCTCTATCTATATGCCGACCTCTGCCGTGTTGCACCCCCGATGGAAATGGTGATTGAACCCTCAACCTTCGCCTCTTCCTCTCGGTCACTCCGCCACCTTTCCCCTCTCATTTCCACTCTCCTTCATCCCTTGCCTTCACCTTCCGATGATTTCCAATGACCTGCCCTGCACACTCTCTATCCCGCCCTCTCCTCCACCTTCCCTCCTCTTTACACACCCTCTATCCCATTCTCCCGCTTACCTTCCCTCCTCTACACGTACTCTCTATCCCATTATCCCCTCCCTTTCCCTCTCCACACACTCCCTATCCCATCCTCTCCTCCGCCTTCCCTCTTCTCCCCGAGTGCTAACCCCACGGACTTCATCATAGGAGGATTCCGCACACAGCCCAAATGCATCGCCCCGTCAATTGCTTGATATACTATTACTACCTTAGATCGCCACCCCACCATAATCAGTTCCATCCAACAATATATTTCGAAATTGGAAGCCATCAGTCAGCCACTCGATAAGACTCCGTCGATCTTGTCGATGTACACACACAAGGTGGTGCCCCTACCGTCTTGTACCTCAGGAAATCGCAGTTAATTCCGCTCTTGAAAGCGGATCTATCGATTCTCTGCGGGCGACGAGGGGACAATTCCACGCTCCCACGTGCCAACCTCTGCTCTTCTTGAGAAGGAGTATCAATTTCGCGCCCGATGGGAGATACAAATCAATTCCACGTTCCACGTGCCAACCTCCGATCCTGTTCTTCAGTGGAGATCTCACTCCGCCACCGATGAGGCCTATTCCACGCGCGACGTGGCGACCTCCGATCCGCTCTCGAGTGGAGTATCGACTCCGCGACCGATGAAGCCACAATCCGACGACAAACGTGGCAACCAACTTCGACTCCGCTCTTAACTGTTGAGCATCCATTCCGTGGGCGATGAGGGCAAAATTCCATGTAGTCCACATGGCAGCCCCTGACCCGCTCTTGATTGGAGCATCAATTGCGACCGACGAGGGCAATTTTTTTTCCCTGCGTGGAGCCCCACGTGGCAACCTCTGCCCAGTCTTCACTATCCTCTCCTCTCTACCTGCAGCATCCAAACGGCTCGGTCTTCTCCTTGCCTCTCGTCACTTCTCGGCATTACCTATGATCTTTCCTCAGGTCCGTCTCCTCAAGTGTTCACTATCCACTCCTCTACCATCAGCATCCAGACCGTTCGCTTGTTCTCCATGCCTCTCGCCGTTGTTCGGCATTATCTACGGTGTTTCCTCAGCTCGTCTCTTCTTGCCCGATCCTCCATCTGTGTGTGCCCTGATCAGCCAACCTACCTTATAACGAGTATGTTCATAGCTTCTCACACTGCCAACCAATGCGCGAACCGTCGTCCGATTCCGCGAAAGAACCGTCTCAGCGTCAGCACGAGAACCATACACCAAAAACAACAACAACAACCACCAACAACAACATCGTCCACCGCCGCCTATTCTTGTTCATTTTTTCCTTCTCCCTCCCCTTCCCTGCTTCTCTGTGTCCACGCACCGTGAGCGTGTGTGCTTGCGCTCGCCGAAGAACTCACATCATCTTTCGTCACTCGCTCGCATCCTCACCAACGCGACGCGACGTATGCGCAGGCGCACCAACTCCCGAGCAGCAAAGATTTTGCACGTGTCATCAACAACCTATCCTGTCAATCCAGGAATTCCCTCACATTTGCAGCATCTACCCTCCTCACCATCCTCGGCAACGACACGTGGGTCCTCCTCCTTCGACCAATCTTCAATCTTTCGCCTGCCACTCACGCGTCCACCATCGCCATCGTCACGCAGCCTTTGCCACCTATCACGACCTGTGTTATCTCCCATTCACTATATTCTCTCCACCTTTGGACTAATTAACCACGAACTTACGGATGCATCTCTAAGTTCAGCGGTGCAGCTCTACCGTCGATGTAATCCTAACCCGTCACACGGACGGCGACGATCGTATCAATCTATCTACAGATTAGGAACGACCAAACATGATGATGGCATTGGATAAATGCAAGGTCGGGTAGAGAGCGAGGTAGATACGGTCAAATGAGCGACTAATTTAACAGCAAAGGCAAGGTCGGGTAGGGGTGAGAAGGAGGAGAAGGAGGAGGAGGAGAAGGAGGAGAAGGAGGAGAAGGAGGAAGGAGGCATCGAAAAGAAGTGAGACGCTGGCAGGTACGTTCTTCTTTTTCCCTTTCCAATTCTTTCCCAAGAATAAGGAGAGGATGAGTGCTCAGGTCCGCCAACGACCCCCCCCGATGCCTGCACTCCATGCCTCCACCTTCGGCACAAAAATTTTGATCAACCTGTCCCATTTCCCCAGACCCAAGTGAGAACGCGAGTGCACATCCATGTTGACCATAGTGTGGAGAGGTCGAGGGAAACAGAGTTCATCATTGACGGTCCGATCGCAGAGCATGGAAGTCAGTCACCCGACCTCTCGGTCAACGATCACAGAAGATAGCCATACAAGACAGACAGGACAACCAACATGATTCCGCGACTTACAATAAAACATACCCACGCTCAGACTCCACGGTTTCGGCAACGGCGCCCAAGATATCATTACCAAAACTCTCCTCTCCTCTCTCTCTCTCTCTCTCTCTCTCCCTCTCTCTCTCTCTCTCTCTCACACACACACACACACACACACACACACACAGAGAACAACACGCAAGCGCAAGCGCGCGCTCGGGACCACTTACCTTGTGAAAGGCCAGGAATTGAGAACGATCTCCAACGAGCTCTCTGACCCGGTTGACGCATTCTTCGGCAGAGTTATAGAGATTATCGACAATGACGACGAAATAGCCTTGCTGGAGAAGCTCAACGACCGTATGGCTGCCTATGTAGCCCGCTCCGCCCGTGACCAGGACGATTTCTTGCGCACCCCCGCCATGCTGAATCGTCTCCCCCATGTTTGTCGTTTAAACAATCAACGACCACGACGAGGATAACGACACACGTGCAACCCCTGCCTTTTAGCCTGTCGCTTCTTCGCGGGAAGAAGCTCAGGAAGACACGGCCCTCGTCCGCGTCCCGACCTCCCTCCTCCCAACCCCCTTCCACACGACAAGTGCTGTTATTCCAGCGTCGTGTAGAGTTGACAACAACCAGTGTGATTCATCACTTGCTGCAATAGCTAAATAAAGCAAGCGCACGGGCGAGCGGCATCACCAATCCCCTCACCTTGCCGCACTTACGTCTCTTCTCCCTCCTCCTTCCCATCCCCTTCCTAGCGCTATGGTGGATCCGTCTCCGACGACGGGCGGACAGACGGACGGCCCGGCCGTCGAAGCCAGCGCCCTGTCTCTGCGTCCGTCTGTCGCCCTCCACCTCCCTCCCGCGCCACTCGGCTTTTCCCCAACCAACGCCCAAAAGCCGATTCCGCCCCTTCCCTCTCCCCGCTGTTCCGCGGTCGCCTCCCACCTTGGCCCACCACACCCCAACTGCTGTTCACACCTCGTTGTGGGACCGGGTACTCCTCACCCAGAAGGCCAGGCAGGTATTCTTCCTCACCCTCCCGCCACTTTCCCCGCTCCGCGCCTCCAACTCCTCTCCCTCTCTGTTCCTCCCTCACGACCGGCGGGCGCGCGAGCCCCGCCCTGGCCTATTCCCCGCGCTGCAGCTCAACTCTCGTCGCCAATGGGATCCTGCACGCTAACTTACGTAGCATCCAAACGTGATTTTCTGCTGATTCGCTCTTCTGGTAACAGCAGCTGAAGAACGACCAGCTTAGGAAGTTCTTTGCAGCAATAGCTGTAACAGTTAGGTTGGCGTGGACCATCAGAATTCTCGGTACTTTCCGAGGCCACAACAATTCGGTGATTTCCGAGATCAATGCCAGTGGTAAGCAAGAACCCCGTATTGCTCAGTTTACGTCTGAATATCAGATATATATATATAGGGTTCAGCCTCCTGATGAGTCGGTGAAACTCCGACGAAACAGTTTGCCACAGCCCCTCGTTTGTTGTCCTCTTCTCCCTCTCTGCCTACGGTTTACCGGGCAGCTCTGTTTTTTTTTTTTTTTTTTTTTTTTTTAATATATATATATCGTATATATATATATATATATATGCTGACTACCGCGTTTCGTTAGCAGTCCAGGAATGACGAAAGCCACGCTCACACTACGGTAGGACATTTTCAGCTGATTTCTATACGGCAGGACATTTTCGGCCGATTGCTAGACATAACTGCATCACATATACATCAAGTTCGGGGCGGGACGTAATTGCTGTCGGGTATAACTTGGGAAGTAGGTTGACGAGTATGCTCAAGGGCATGCTCACATGAGGACTTCACCGGATGAACATGACGACTTTTCCCACACCGATGGATGCACCTGACCGTGATTACGTCACACACTACCACTTCCCACGATGTATACGTACGGCCAGATTTCGTCGAAGCAGTCCCGGTGTGACTCTCTCCAAATTGAGTGCCTCTCGCGCCAAGGAACCTCGTGGGTCGGTTAACCTTGCTAAACCACCCCGTAACCATCCCGTTCAAAGAAACGCAGGACCTAGTCAGATTTGCCTCGTCGACCCACGAAACCATCGCCCGCTTTTCTCGCGAATGGACTCCCCGGGATGATCACCACAAAACCCGTTTTTTTCCCCCGCATAGAACGCGTCGAGGCCGCAGTTCGGCCACGGACTGAAAACAAAGGCGCACTACATGCCTACCGGTAGCCCAGTTGGCAAACCCATGAACTGTCGAATGCTCGACCTGAGTCCGAATGGAGATAGAATTCGTGAGTTTCCTGGGCCGGTCCGACCCATGTGCAAGTTCGCGACATGGGCCTGGGCATAGACTGTAGGCCCCCGGACACTTCTCTGCCTGCCCCTCTGCCAGGTAGGCAACTTCTCTGCCTGCCCCACGAATTTTTTTATTTTTATTTTTTTGAATAACACCCACCAATTTTATTTTATTTTTATTTTTTACCAAATTCATCTTTCATTACCAAAATCAAATGTTTGAGCCCGGGGACCTCACAATTCAACCCGGAGTTATCCCGGCAGCATCAAACGGTTTAGCTTAGCAATTCCTCAAAATTTTCCTCACGTTACTTTAATCAACTCCTGCATAGAGAGAGACTAACACCCTCAAATTACTCGCATACAACCCTCTCTTTCTTGTTCTGTCTCCCTCCCCTCTTCTTGTTCTAGTGATCCAACATCTATCTGTTCTAGCGCCTATCCTTTCACTACTATCCCTACCTACCCCTACCTCTCCTCCAGTCGACCCGGATTGCCAGTCTTACTCCGTACTTGATCTTGCACTTAATTTCCACACCCGACATCGGTCTTTTTTGGAACCTGGCCCTATTTCTGTCTGTCCAAACCACTTCACAAATCACTCCTCTGATAACATGTGCCACATACCACCACCCAATGTTCGTTTCCGTGACTGGGGGTAGGAATCCCAGCAGAACCCACTTTTCGTCCCAGACCACCCCCTCCCCTCCCATTTTCGTCCAATGGTATTCCCACCACTTCCAAATTCTTTTGGAGGCGGGACATTCCCACCAGAGATGACGGGTGGACTCATAAGGCCAGTTGCGTCGTCTACAGCGGAGATCGACGGTCATTCCTCTACTTTGTAACCAGACCGCAGACGGCGTGACCAACAGAGATAGAAGCCACAGCATACTTGTTTGTTTTCCATTTGGGAGTGTGAGGAGCACTTCCCACAGCCTGCCAAACTGCTCCTCTGCATCTTGGATTGCTTCTCCCAGTACAGCTTGCCACCTTCTTGTTGCAATCTCCGCTGGTGTTTTTCTTTTTCTGCCCGCGATTGGGACACAGTGCTGGAAGGGGTGTTGGCGGTGCAGCAGGTGGCCAATCCGATGTCAGACCATAAACCGGTGATAGCAAGCATCAAACTGCAGGCGGGGGTGGAAAGAGGGAAGGGTTTTTTCAGACTCAACTCGCAGAACTTAGAGGACCCAGGGATCATGGAATGGATTAAGCGGCATTGGGCCAGCTGGGAACTGACGCGTCAGCACTTCGAGACAATGGCGGAATGGCTGGACAGTGACATTAACATCGTATCAAAAGTCTTGGACGTCAGTTCGAGAATCCTGGCGAAAACCAGGAACAAGAAAGAAGCGGAATGCAGACGGAGGGGCGAGGAGGCGGGAGAAAAGATGGAGGGTCATCCAATCTCAGTCCTTACATGGGCGAGAGAGAGAGAAAAGAGACTCGCAGAATGGGACAAGATCCAAGAAGAAAAGGAGATGAGATGGAAGGAAGTGCTGGAGAAGAAAGGAATTACGATGCATGACAAGATGACGAAAGAGACATTTCAAAAGTTGCAGCCAAGAAGAACACAACTACAAATGGTGGAACTAAAACATCCGCTGGATGTCTCAGCGCCGACAGCATCTACAGCAGCAGGGATGTTGGAGTACGCAAAAGTCTACTATGAAGACATCCTAACGACGCGGAGACCACAGGATAACACAGACACTGACCTTACAAGAATCTCGGACATGTGGACGGACACTCAAGTCAAGCTTCAAGTACAGGCCAAACTGGACCTGGACAGACTAGTGACAGTGGAAGAGACAAGACAGACATTGCGCAGCATGGGGAAAGGGAAGTCGTCGGGCATTGACGGCCTCACGGTGGAGTTCTACATCAAGAACTGGACGACGATTGACCCAGCACTGGTGGAGGTAAACAATCACGTGTTGGTGGGAGGCAAGCTAGGAGCAACAATGACGCATGGGGTTATCACGCTGCTATTCAAAAAGGGAGACAAGGCGGAAGTTAAAAATTGGAGGTCAATCTCCCTTTTGAATGTTTCGTACAAAGTGCTAGTGAAGACCCTGACGAGGAGAATGGCTCGATACCCGCCGGATCTAATTGGAGGAGACCAGGGGGCTTTTGTACAAGGACGCTCCATATTCAACAACATTGTCACTGCCATCGAAGTCTTAGAAGTGGTACAATCGGAAAACAGGGATACAACGGTACTCCTTCTCGATTTGGAGAAGGCGTACGATAAGGTCGGTTGGACATTTGTGCTCACAACATTGAGACATATCGGGTTTGGGGATGGTTTCTGCAGATGGATGATTGCAATGTACACCTACTCTACGTCCTCAGTGGCAGTTAATGGCCATCTGTCAGCATCATTCAAGCTCACTCGATCTCTCAGATAGGGTTGTCCACCAACGCCCTTTCTGTTTGTATTACAGATGGAAGTCCTATTGAACAGGATTAGAAGACACCCTGACATAAGAGGCTTACAGCTGCATGGCCATGCAGAATGCACAGTAAAGGCGCTGGCGGATGACCTTTTCGTAGTCTGCGAAGACTCAGTCTCGACACTCACAGCTCTGAAGGGAACTCTGGCGGAGTACTCCACACTCTCGGAAGCATCAGTTAACTGGCAGAAGTCTACTTACCTTCTCCCTAAGGAGTACCACCTAAAGGTAGAATGGGGTATGAGGAGAGTGGAAGAAGGGGAGGAGGAGAGGTTCTTGGGAGTGTTAATCAGCCTGCAAGTCCAGGGATCTACACAGGGGTTAGTGCTACAGCAAAGAATCGCCGCACGGTTAAACGTGTGGAGTCGAACATGGCATCTGTCGATCACAGGCAGGGCACTGGTGGCAAATATGTCACTGTTATCCATCCTCTGGTTCGTGAGCCAAGTGAGGGAACTAGCCAGCGGTGTACTGGCAGCTGTGCGCAGGCGGGTGGCCACAGCCAAGCAGTCAGAAGGGTTTCTGGTGAAAGTAGCGTGGGAAACACTGACCTTCCCGATGGAGAAAGGGGGACTCGGATTGCTGGATCCAGAGTGCAGAAACCAAGTGCAACTGTGGACGTGGTTAAGTAAAGTAGCAGTGGCTGACGCAAAAGAGCACTGGATACTACTGGCGGAGAGGCTGTTGATGGCATAATGGGAGTTGTCCCGCCCGGAGGATGTTTGGGCGTGTTTTTTCATGGAATCCTTTTGCAAAAAAAGACTGAAATCCGGTTTTTGGGAAGGAGTGCGAAAGGCATGGAAAAAGCAGACTCCAGAAACCCGAGAGAAGCCACGGACAAAAGAGGAAGTACTGACACAGATACTGTTCGACAATCCGCACATAACCAACCAAGATGGGACCCCCCTTGCAGTAGATGGGTCAACTGCTACGTTTGGTCTTGCATGGGTCCGCAGAGGAGTAACAAGAGTAAGAGACTTATGGTCCACGGTGCTGGGAAGCTGGAAACCGCTCGCGGAGGTGAAACAGAAACTGAGTGGGCTTCACAGGGTAGAAGAGAACTGGAGACGGGTGATCGGGGCCATTCCGGTAGAATGGCTGGAACTGATAGGACCGGAAGGGGTGGATCCGCCAGGTACGTGGTACCTGGCACCGCAGGAAGGAGAAATGACAGTCGTCTGGAAAGTACAGGGTATTGAACCAAGCGGGTTCAGATGGGTAGAGCGGTGGAAAACAGTAAACCACGCTAACTTATTGGAGAAAGTGGGGGAGGACGTAGTCATGGGTTGGAACAATCCACCACAGGTGAGAGTGGTGGAAGCAGCAGGCTGTGGGCCGAGAATCAGGAGTCTCACATGGATAGGCAGAGTGCCACTAAGAGAACTCAACATTGACCCAATGGCATGGGCCTGGAACAGAGAGCCAGAAGGATATAAGGATCTGTCTTTGTATGATTACTTAGCCTCCTAAATGGGTCTGACAGGGCCAGCTCTTTCGTGGTTTCCAACAGGGCCCTCACATCCTGTCTGTCTGCGTATCTTGAGCCCGGGCGCAGGGCCTCATCCAGCGATAGATTCCAGTCCCCCCCCACCACGACTTTTTCCACCTTTGGAATGTTTCTTATCAACTTTTTGAAAAAGCTTGCTCTATCCCCCACATGCGTCAGCGCATAAATCGTCATCAGCAACCACTCGTCAGATCCCACCTCCAGCCTTACCCAGGCCCATTTGCCCCAAATATCCGCTTCTGTTTCCAAAATTTTGACCAGCAGATCCCTGTGAAGAAGAATCCCAACGCCCCCTCTTGAACCCTGTGCAGGGGCCCACACTTGTGTTCCGTCCCACCATGCACCCATCTCCTTCAATTTCTGTTGTCTTAGCTTCGTTTCTTGAATCATCAAGCATTTAATGCCCCTTTCATGCACCCAGCTCTTCAACCTCCTCCTTTTTCCCCTTCCCCCAGTATCCCCCAGCCCTCGCACATTCCACGTAGCTACTTTTACTTTATCCATCCGCTATGATATCCTCTGCTTGTTGTTGGATGCAGACTGTAGCAGGTTGCGATTTTCCGTCCTCCTCCGACCTGCCAGGTGCCGTTCTGTTGTTACTTCTAGAGCTTCCTCTCGAACTACATCTGGATGAGCTGACCCTGGATCCTTCTCCCCACTCCTTGGTCAAGCTGTTTACCATGAAATTTGATTGTAACCCCTCCTCCTCATCCAACTTCTCACTGAGGTTCAGAAGGATTGCCCCTGTGATACCTGGGATAATGTTGATGTCCTGTAGTTTGTGCATATTCCTCTTTCCGACAGTCGACATGTGGTACCATCTTATTCCAGACTGGGTCAACAGTTCCGCCGTTTCCGGTGGAATTCTGGCGTCCAACAGCGGGAAGTAACACTTGAAGAAACCATCTTGTGTTTCACAGAAAATGCTGATCATGGAGGATCGTGGGATAATCCAAATTGGCACGTGATTTTCGTACATGTTCTTCGTCCTTTCCATGATCAGTGTCGGGGTAGGTGAGCACTCGATCACCTCTGCCGATATCCTTGGTTGACCATCGGCTCCTGCTACCGCCAGAAAGTAAATCCCATCATTGGCCATTGTGCAGAGCAACGGGACTAGGCATCGTTTGACCACCTCCACTTGGCTCCTGTGAGCTGTATCTGCTCTTCGATCTCTCATTGATCTCGCAACACTCGTGGTCCTCCCTTCCATTTGTTTCCTGGAGTTTGCTGAGCTGTCTGCTGATCTTTCCATTTTTACCGCGGACCCTGATCTTTCTCCCCTCTCGTCTGCGCTATCCTCTCCCAACCACTCACTTCCCATCTTTATCCTTGATTGAGAGGATGTCGTGGTATTTGCCATATTTGGTTGGAGACTCCTCTCTCGCACTCCTTCCGGCCTGGCTCTGCTCTGTTCTGTCCACCGAAGAGCCTCCTCTTCCCGCTGAGCCCAATCCCCCCATCTTCCTGTTCCTTGCCCGAGTTCATCCATTCCCCCTGTGCCTCCCAATCTCCCTGTTATGCCCCTTTCCTCCCTCATACTTCTTCCTCCCACGTCCCATGACTCTTCCTCCCTCCATCTTCTCCATGCTCCCACCCTTCTTCTTATTCCCATACCGTTTGCTCCTTGTCTTTCACTGCCCGGTGGTATTTGGTGGATTAATTGGAGCCCTGTCCCTCGCTCCGGGCCATGGAGGGGCATGCCTCTCCATTCCAATGGGCCAGTTGGGTAATGAGGTTGAGGACAACTTAGATGACACAGACCCTGCATAGGTGGCAGGCCTTGCTGACTTTGCTGACGTCCCATCCGGTCTATATGCCGATGGACTTCGGATCCGTGATGATCTCATCTCGTTTGTAGGCCTGACCCTCCTCCTCTCGGTTTTTCGCATAGATGCATGACCGGTCCTCCTTCTCTCGAGTCTTGTGGATCTCCCCTCCAACCTTCCTGGCCTCTCCTTGGTTGTGCCGGGATATGCATGTGTTGGTCTTCCATCACGACCTGTTGTCTTGTTTCCCACATACGATTGCGCCACGGTGGTAACTCTTAGATCGTTGTCGGGCTTTCCCTTCTCCCCTGGTTGTTCACCGCCTCCGATCTCGCTCCCACCCTCTCTTGTGTAACCGTGTGCCCACTCCGTGTTTGGGCTCTTTCGGCTCCTACCTGTTGTTCTCCTCTCCTCTCTCTTTTTGGTGGCGCCTCTGCTCTCGGGTGATTCAATACAAATTGTAGGAATCTTTCCTTGTGTCCCCCCTGTCTCGGCGCCCCCTCCCTTCTCCTCCCTTCTTCCTGCCGAGTTCGCTGGCAGTTCTCCTCTGTGTGGTAGTACCAGCGACATTTGCGGCAATAGTCAGTGTATGGGGTCGCTATGTCCACCTTCCAGCGTTCCCCGGCAGACCCTTCGATCCACAACTTGTCTTCCACCTCGTATCTTGCATTAGGGTCCATGTCTATTTTCACATTCATTAGTTTCAAGCCGGATCTGTCGTACTCCGGTGGATGTACATGCAAGACTTCGCCGAACATCCCTCTTACTGCAGAGTTGAGGTAGAAGTACGCGTCCATAGGAACCCTCAACGCCATGATCCAAAAGTTTGTTGACGGTTCTCGTAAGCGCAATTCTTTCAACTCATTTCGAGTCATCCATGGCTTGCAAATTGTGATGTACTCCTCATCTGCCAAGCGCAACTTGATTTCCCCCTGATTGATCAACCATTGCGCCACCTCACTAGCATTGGCCACATACGAAACCACGTTCGCACCTTCGAAGCTAATTCTCCCCCTTTTCACCTCCGGGTTGAAGCGACGTTGTGTCATCCATCCATCTTCATTGGCCCTGATGAGATCTTCTTTCACAGCTCTCGACAACTTTTTTGCTTCATCTTGGTAAATTAGGATCACTGTATGTTCCTTTAACCACTGCTTTTTTATTTCATCCACCACTCCATTCACCACGTATCTCTTCCCTTGCTCATCCTCTACCACCTCTCCTAGATCTAAGTCATCGGGACATATCCCCTCATCGTAGCATCTTTCCATCGAATCTCGTACTCTATCTTCCTCACCTCTCGGATCCGCTGGCATCTCCGATCTTTGACGACCCTGGCTTTCTTGGACTTGCCGAGCAGCCATCTCGCTCGCGTTGGGTTTGAGGGCAAACCTTCCGTTGACTCCTGGTTCACGTGTTGTTGTCCTCCCGTTTGTTGGCTTCGTCACCTCATTACCTACCCTACCCTATCTCTCTGGGCTGCTTAGTGAGTGACCAGCTATGAGGAAAATCGTCCACTCCGTCATGGAGAGTGTTGTAACCCTTCCCGTTCCCCGTCATGTTGGCGGGGGTGACGGACCAGCAGCGCCGCGTGAAATTGCGGCGACGCGCGTTACCGGAGCGCTACGCTGACCGCCCAGTAACGTCGCTCCACTCTTACACACCCACCAAGTTTGCTCCACTCATCAAAAAAAAAATCTTTTTTCTTTTTTTTAGAAAACAAAATGACGGTAGGGGAGCGGCGTTACCGGGTGGCGTAGCGCAGCGCTCCGGGAATTCCGTCTCCGCGGGCGGTTAGCGCAAGTGGTGCTACCTGGCCGACACCTCCGCCGTCACGACGGAGATCGGCAGACGCGTGCACACCGTCGCATCGCCGGTGGGGCTTGCCCAATTTGCACTTGCGTCGTCTAGGTAGTCCATAGCCAGGGTAGGTCTTAGTCAAAGTGGAAATGCATACTGCTAACTTCGAAGTAAGTGGCGACCCCCCCTCTGTCGAGAGGAAACAACGTTGATGCCGGAGGTAAAAGGGTAAAACTTAGGTTGTTCTTCACGACTATGGTGAAAGTAGAATCCTTTCCAACGTGGCCGCGGCATCTTCACTGCTCGTTTTTCAAGCCGTTCACCACAGGCTTTCACGTCCCGGCCTGAGTAAGGGACTGGTGTTCAAGTGGCAGGGCTTGTACTCACCCGGATTCCGTCAGTTTCACCACTCAGTCAAGGAGTAGGGGGAGATATCATCGGGCAGAGTAGCCTCCTTGCTATTTAGGCATTAAGATGGCGGAAATCCACGAATTATGGAAAAAGCGCAGGAGTACTCGTGAAAAGAGTCCCAAAGCACAGGGAAGGCTGAGATTATAGTGAAGGAGTAACTTGTACTTATCCAGGGCGAAGTCGGAGTAATAGTGATTTCAAGCAGGCATTCAGGGTATTCTGTGCCAGAGATTGGTTCGAGCTTCCGGACGAATTATAGAGGTTTTGCATGGCCCAGTTAATAAAAGTAATGGAGATCACACCGATCAGAGTAAATTCATATCCAATTTAGGTGTTGAGGATCACCGGAATCCGTGGTAGGTAGCGGTGAAATACTTGGGGAAGGAATCCGAAAAGTACAGGCACATTTGAGCGTTGAGCGAACTAAGAAATTCATAATCACCCATGATGGTTTTAGCGCATTAGTGTCAGCAAGCAGGGGCATTCGGGGAATTCCCGCCCAGGCCTGAAATTGTTATCTCAAAGAGTTTTAGAAGGATACAGGACAGTGTCGCCCGTGTTCGGAGTGTATACCTCTACAATTTCGCTCACAGGTGTCGGACACAGACACTACGGCGAGCAGGCCGCTATGCACCTCCGAAAGTGCAGGTGATACGTGCATTAGGAACGGACATACCCCGAGGGAACATTATTCCCTTCGGGAGCTTGGTCACCAAGGACATCACTTCTTCTTCATCAGTGCCGATTAGTCTCCGAGAAATGTACTTATGAAGGTATTGGGGAATGCAATTGAGATCAGATCTATTAACGCACGAGTGGAGAGGTACAGTTGGCAGATCAATTTGGTGGTGTGGCCCGGACGGCCACAGTAGTGGGGCCGCATGCCCTCCCTCACTACACGGCATAGGAACCCGGTTCCCAGTCAACACTCATGTAGATCCCGATGAGAAGAATGGCAGGTACTCTGGGGAGAGTGAGAGCTTCAATTTCAAATCTTCGTGGGATAGAAGAAAATTGAGAAAAGATAACGGAGTATGTCAACCGGTGCTATGACGAGGGACTGTGCCCAGACGATATCCACTTAGGAGAAGTCGTGTAAGACGAAGAAGGGAAACGCTTCGTCGTGAACGAATTGGTAAAGGAGGTGAAGGATGAGTGGTTGAAAGAGAGATCCGTCATAGTGTTGTTTCAAGGGGAGGCTCGCAGTCTATCCAGATCAGTGAAGGAGAATTTAATTCACGCATTCGAGGACGGATGGACAGCCAAGCGCCTCTTCCACCCAGATACCAGAAGAGGTAGAGTGAAATTCGAAGGTCCTAATGTTGCTTTCTATGTGGCAAAAGCAAAAGAAATCACAGACTGGCTTATTCAGGAGGGAGAATTGAAGGTTAAGGTGGGGCCAAAAGAGTACTATGCATATTTTTTATTTGCGCAGGAAGAGAGAGGGAGAGCGAGTCCCGACGAGCTGCGAGGGACTCTTTCTCTCACACACACACATAAATGGGAATGAATCATCTGGCGAACGTGGGAAGATTCATTTCCATTTCTCATATTTGAACTTCGCGTGAGGGGGGGGGAGGGGGGGGGGGAAGAGTCCCGACGAACAGTGTTGAAAGCCACATCAAACTCGACGACTCTCTCTCTCTCTCTCTCTCCCCCCCCCCCCCCCCCCCCGGCGATTCGAATGTGATAAATGAGAACTAATCTTCTGATTTCTAACGTTCAAACTGCGTGGAGAGAGAGAGAGAGAGAGAGAGAGAGAGAGAGAGAGAGAGAGAAAGTGAGTTATCAACACTTTTTAACAACATAGTAGACAAAAAATGTTGTAGATCTGCTAGTTGTGAGTTTTTTTTTGGCAATATTTTTTACTTCATTTTGTCATAATTTTCCTTTCCTTGCTCTTTTGTGTCACTCCATCTCTGATTGGATGGGAAGGATGAATGTCACAATGGTATATGGTGTAAGAAATTAGGCCGCGTATTTTGATTTGGGAAAGTGTTTTTCCCTCATGACTTTCCTCCACCATCTCTCCTCTTATTCTATCTTTTTTATTTTTTTTCCCTCATGCCTAGCTAAACGTTGACTTACTTGTGTTGAGGCATGCCATAAATCTCAAGCAACCATCTTATTATCTCCTCCTTTAAGTTTGTGCATCCAAAACAATGTAGTTTGAAAAATAAAGAACACGAATAGTGATGTTTGAAAAATCTTAATGTGATAATAGTTGTGAAGTGGGGTGACAAATGTATTACATACGAGTCTAAATCCTCGAATATACCCGAGAAACTTACAAGAAAAAGCAAGATGATGGACTGAGTTAGACTAATAATCGGTATGGGGGGCCGAACACCTCCAGGTTCGTCCCCCGCCAAAAAATGTTTCGGGGCTTAAACACAAGATTTGTTTTTAAATTTGTTTTTGTGAGTTCTCTATGATGTAACCTACGCGCCTATAAATTTTGAAGCCATTCTGCTAATCCAAAAACAAATTAAAAATCGTTAAAGATGGGGTTGTCAAAATGTGCTCGCCCACTCACTATTTTATTCTTTTTAACTTTTAACTTTTTGTTTTCACTTTATTTCAGGGCCTAAAAAAAATTATTATTTTTTGAAACATTTTTAATAAGTTATTGATTATGTAAACTACATATCTGTAAATTTTCAGGGCATTTGTAAATGCCAAAAAATAATTAGAAATTGGCAAAGATGGCGATGTCGAAAAGGTGCTCCCACACTCACTCATTTTCATTCTCTTTTTATTTTTTCTTATTTTTATCATAGTGTTTATTTTCTATATTTGATTTTTAATTCAAATTTGGTAATGAATTTGGATGCAGTGCCCAGAAAAATGTTGTTTAGTTTGTTTTGCTCCATAACATAATTGTTTTTCGAAATTTTTTGAAATAATGTTTTTTTTTTTTTTTTTTTTTTTGGGTCCGCGTTCGGCCCGAACCGCCGAACGCCTTCCGAAGGGGTGCCGTACGTTCGGGTTCGGGCGTTCGGCCCGTCCCGAATGCCGGCAACCGTGATATGATTAATATAATATATATTGTTATTATTATATATATATTATTTGTATTATATATGGTTTTTTTATTTTTATTGTCTATGACTCTTTTATGAATTTTTTATTTCTTCTACGTATATAAATTATTTCGTTTTAAAATATGATTGGGCCAAAAACGAGARAAAAAAAAAAAAAAAAAAAAAAATATTATTTTTTAATTTTAATTTATATTTGTATTTTACATTTGGTAAAGAATTTTGATGTGACCCTGAGTTAAACGTTGTTTAGTTAATTTTTTTGGATAACATAATTTTTTTTTGGATTTTGTTGATTTTTTATTTTTTTTAAGACCTTTCCTGGACTTGCATGGTCGAGCCGCCAAAAAAATAGGGTGGGCCGGGTGCCCCGGCTGGTAGCCTTGTTATTTTCACGTTGTTTTTTTTTTTTTTTTTTTTTTTATCTATTTTTTTCACCAAGGAGTTATTACTCTTTTGCCAACTGTCCAAAAAGATTCAGGTTCGAGGTTGAGCTTTATCATCACCCATGCTAAAAAAATGAAAAAACAATATATTTTTTTAATTATACTAACAACTGTTAGCTACAAACAATTTATAAAATCGGTTGTTGTCCTACAATAGACGCACAACATAAGAGACCAACGAAAAATGAATATTGTTGAGACTATCCTTTACATATTTCGACTTTTGCGTTGTGTATAGGAGGAAGATAGAATCAAAACATAACTTGTAGCATGGTTATTGACATTAAACCTTACATGAACGAGATGGTCCAAATGGATGAATGTTCAGCCCTCCTAGACACACATTCGGGTTTGGTCGGATGCAAATCAATTAATTAATTAATTAAGAATAAATTGGTCAAAAATACTTTAATACACATAACTGATTTTATTTATTTTTTTCACCTTTTTTTTAGGTTTTTTATGACACGAGAAACACGTGGTTAAATTTTCTAGTCCTTTCAGTGGTAACAAAAAAGATAAAAAATGGGAAAAGGTAGTGGTGTCAAAACACGTTTTCCCTCTCACTAATTTTGTTTTTTTTTCTTGATACTGCGATCTTTAGTAATTTTTTTGTTGTTTCTTTATAGCTTGATTTACCCAAAAATAAATATGCTAACCTAGGCTAACAGAGTAATTTGGGACCACCTGCCCAGCTTGTGTCATACCAAATACCCTTACAAGCAGGGTTGCCAGCGTTCGGGATGGGCCGAACGCCCAAACCCGAACGCCCGAACGTTCGGCACCTTCTCTCGACGCATTCGGTCGTTCAGCCGAACGTGGAAAAAAAAAAAAAAAAAAAAAAAAAAAAAATTCAAAAAAAAATGAAAACAACATATGTTATGAATAAGAATAAACTAAACAATATT